CTTTGACTTTCTCTGCTCGTGTTCGGCTGTTGTTAATTGCTAGTTTCTTGTTCTTCCTTTCTTGAATTTTGTGCAGGGTTTCCATAGAGATCCATGCCTTGTGATGATGCTTCTTAGGACCAAGAACCTCCTGACACGTTGAAGTTAGTGCTTCTTTTATCCCTTTCCAGTTGTCCTCCACAGTAGTTTCTTGTTCTTTCAGTAGATCCTGTAGAGCTTGGAACCTGTTGTTGAGAGTTATCTTGAATTCATGGAGCTTGTCAGTATCTCGAAGGAAGGCTGTATTGAACCTTTGTAGTGCTGTTTGTCCAGTTGTCCAGTGTTTCTTTAGCTTCAGTCTCATCTTGGCCACAACCAGGTGGTGATCTGAAGCTATGTCAGCTCCTCTCCGGGCTCTCACATCTTCCATTGATCTTCGGAATTTTTTGTTGATACAGATGTGATCAATCTGGTTCTTTGTGGTGTGGTCCGGTGAGATCCATGTAGCTTTGTGTATACGTTTGTGTGGGAATATTGTGCCGCCTATAACCAATTTGTTGAATGCACATAGGTTTGCAAGTCTCTCCCCATTTTCATTTCTCTCTCCTAATCCATCTCATCCAATTACATCTTCATATCCTGTGTTGTCCACTCCAACTTTAGCATTTAGATCTCCCATCAGGATTGTGAGGTCCTTTCGTGAGCACTTCTCTATAATTGATTGCAGCCTTTCATAGAACTGATCTTTATCATCGTCGTTGCTATCATTGGTGGGTGCATAACATTGGATAACGTTCATTGTGATCCCTTGATTCTTTGTTCTGAATGATGCTTTGATTATCCTGGGTCTATGAGATTCCCATCCCACAAGTGCATTTCGTGCTTCTTTGGACAGCATTAGAGCAACTCCCTGAGTGTGTGGAGCATTTTCCCCTTCGTGACCGGAGTACAGCAGCATCTCTCCTGTACCTAGCCTTTGTTGTCCAGTTTGTGTCCAATGGGTTTCGCTGATTCCGAGTACTGCCAAGTTGTATCTTCTCATTTCCATTGCTATTTGGCTGGTTTTTCCTGTCTCCCACATTGCCCGGACGTTCCATGTACCTATAAAGAGTGTTGCTCTGGTTGTTAGAAGGTGCATCGGTCTCGTGACTTCCGAAGAATTTCGGCTTTCATCATGAGACGTCATAATTATTCCTTCAACTCCCAGGGCAGAGTTTAAATGGTTTGAATTATTTTTTCTGGTTAGCGCTTTTTTAGCGAGTTAGCTATTCTACGGGATGGGTTCGCTAACCCCATGCCCAACCCTCCTCCTTTACCCGGGCTTGGGACCGGCAGTAACTCTAGAAGAGCTACAGGCGGAGTTGGATCCCTTATGGTTAAGACGAATTAAACTTAACTTTGCTTTTCTTTACAAAGTTCTGTATAATAAGACCACAGTAAGTTGTGATACTTCAAAACTTGCCAAGACAGTAATTATGACTTTCGGAAACAGGATCTGTACTAAAGATATATCGTTGTAAACTGTAGTTTGATCAATTTTAACTGACATTCTAAAATGTTTCAGTTATGGCTACATAATGAGATATTTAGTCATTTATTCATTTTTATCATCCTAAGAATAACATTCTCTTACTGTTGAGATTTTAGGAAGCTAAAACATTCTAAGGCAGATCAGGGTGAATAGTGTCACCAAATAATTTGTATAATATACTTGGGATAAAAATCTGATTCAACAATATCCAAAAATGTAGAATATGAGTTCGTACTAAAGCACTGAAGAGATTTTTTAGCAAGGTTGTTATCCACGGGGTCAGCGACCTAATCAAACTTGATGGAGAAGCTCTAGAAGAAATGTTTACTTTCACGTACCTGAACAACATCACCAATGAGCAAGGAAGATCCGATGCATTTAGTCTTATTGTACGGAGCTGAAACTTAGATAAATACCAAGACCATTATCAATGAAGAAAAAGAACAGACAGTTGTCTACATCAGATACTGAGTGTCTGTTGGTCAGATACTACTGAAAACACCCTGCTATGGGAGAGAAGGAATTAGCTTCCAACTGGGGGGGTAGGGAAAGACGATTGGAGTGGGTAGGACATACATTACTGAAACCACCTAACTGCATCATGCGGAAAGCGGTTACCTGTAATCCTGAAGGGAAATGAAAAACTGGAAGGCCGAAGAACATACTGAGTCGGGAACTAGAAGAAGACATCAAAAGGATGAGTAGCAGCCGGAACCAACTGGAAAGGAAGGAGAGCCCAGGACACAGTTCGATGAAGAATGTAGATCGAAGGCCTACGCCCCTCTACGATGGAGATATAAACAGAAAACGAGAACAGTGTGTGTCCATAAACTTAAGTTGGTATCCACCCAAACCATGTAGAAAATTTACTCTACGTGACTAAATTAATAGTTTGAACGATATAGTAGAGGGTTATATAGACACTTTTCAACCATCATCGACAATAATCACTATACGCGTCTTCGATTCTCTCAAATCCTGATTTTAGGGGACTTCAATCTCCCTAGAATCAACTTCGTGGAACATACATACATTGTAGGTGACAGCTCTACTGAAGCTCTGTTCTTCAACCTCTTCGGTGACCTGGGATTATTTGAAAATGTGAAGTCGGCAACTCGTTTGAGAAACAATCAGACGCCGTCACGCTTAGACTGGGTATTCACAAATGAAGAATCCCTAGTCGACGACCTCTCAATCCTGGCTCCCCTGGGGAAAAGTGATCACGCCGTCTTATCATTCAGCTTTGTCAGCAAAACGGAGCTAAGATATCCCACCACCAACAGGCCCTGGAATTTCAAACGGTTGAATGTGTTAGCTTTACACGACTATCTACAGCAGGTGGATTGGGATGTTCACCCTCAACTTGAAGTGGATGCTCATTGGGATTTTTTACTGCACACGATCTTATGTGCTACTGAGCATTCAGTTCCTCAAATGGTCCCAAAAAGCTACAAACAACCTCCAATCATCAAGAACCGCACTCGTCGTTTGCTAAGCCACAAAAGGCATTGTTGGGTCGAATATAAACGAACTGACAATAACAACGCATACAGGCAATACAAACACATAAGGAACATATGTTCAAAGACAATAAGAGAAGACAGGCTTCAGTTCCAGACCAAGCTCATCGATAAATTCGTCTCCAATCCGAAAAGTTTATTCCGTTATGCAGCTTTTCTTCGACAAAGCAAAACTGGAGTTTCCCAACTACTAGATTCGAATGGCCCGACCAACAACGACGGTAATGCTGCTAACCTTTTGGCCAAACAATACTCTCAGACATTCCAGCCGAACCACATCAACTATACTGACGAAAGCTTCACCTGCACCTGTACAGGACTTTTCGAAGTGGACCTGAGTGCTGACCTGGTGCTCCGTAAACTGCAGCACTTAAGAAAAGACACTTCTCCTGGTCCGGATATGGTTCATTCCGCTGTATTGAGGGAAACAGCTTCAATCCTGGCATCACCACTTAGCGTGATGTTTACAAACTCGCTAAGCAGAGGCAAACTACCGGAAATTCGGAAGCTGGCTCACATCACTCCAATTTTCAAAGGAGGTCGACGCAGTGAACCCTCAAGCTACCGACCAGTGGCCCTTCTCGCCATACCTTCTAAAATTATGGAATCTCTAATATACGACGGTATGCAAAAATACTTATCATCCTTAAAGTTCTTCTCACCTCAACAGCATAGTTTCAGAAAAAGTTATTCTTGTATGACCGACCTGATGACTGCGATGGATAGATGGACAACCATCCTTGATCGCAAGGGGAAGGTTAATGTCATTTACCTGGATTTCTCAAAAGCTTTCGATAGGGCCAACCACGTATGTCTTGTCAGTAAGCTTAGACGATTTGGTATCAAACCCCCTTTGATTGACTGGCTGACTTCAAACCTAGAAAACCGACATTTTAAGGTCAGGGTTAACTTCACTCTCTCTCAGGCTATGGAATGTCCTAGTGGGGTCCCACAGGGCTCAATACTAGGACCTCTTCTCTTCTTGATTTACATGAACGATCTTCCTCAACAAGTTTCATCTGATTTATTGCTTTTTGCTGATGATGTGAAACTTTGGAGAGAGATACGTAATCATAATGATATACCAGTTCTTCAGGAGGATCTGACTCGACTTCAAAGTTGGCAGACGACAACGGACTTACCTTCAACACTTCAAAGTGCAAGGTAGTCCATCTGAGACATGTTGCAGACTATAGTTACAACTTAGGAAACTCTTCTCTGGAAGTATCCCAAGTAGAAAAAGATTTAGGAGTGTTGGTACCCTACTACCTGAAGTCGCATGCGAACTGTGACAAAAACGCCTTTCAAGCTAACCTTGCACTGGTAACATTGAAGCGTATTTTTCGCCAGTTTGACGGTAGAACCTTCCACATAATCTTCAACAGTTTTATTCGTCCCCTTTTAGAGTACGGAAACATAGTATTTCCTCCCTCCCTCCAAAAGGATAAGGACACTCTGGAACGTATCCAACGTCGAGCCACGAAATCAGTTTGGGGACTCAAATTCAAAACTTATGAAGAGCACCTTCAATCATTTAAACTTTACCCGTTAGAGTACAGGCGTTTTAGAGGTGACCTTCTTATGACTTACAGTATCCTTAATACTTCTGGTCATTCCCTTAAACATCTACTTAGGCTTAGTCACAATACCAAGCTAAGGGGTAACACCCAGAAACTGGAGACCCAACATAGTAGAACAGACTGCAGACATAAATTCTACTCCGTAAGAGTTGTCAAATGCTGGAATTCGCTGCCGACTGAGCTAGCCCAAGTAACTTCCCAGGAGTCATTTAAGAGGAAACTTGACCTATTCTTCAAGACTAAGAATAACATCTTATTATGATTTACCACTTTCTTTTTTCCTATTATCGTTAATAAACCTAGGTTCCTGCCTGGAGGTATTGGTGATCCACTGCTACTAGACACGGAAGCCCGCTAAGCGAAAGCTTCTTCTATTTCGTCATCAACCATTTGAACCATTTGAATTAATCTTCATAAATCTGTGACGCTTTTACATTTAACACAACGACTGAAAATAAAAATCAACCTTTCAGTAAAATAAAATCCTTGTTACTTATACATTCTGAGGGAATTTTCTACTTAACAAGCTGATTAACCGACTTATGATAATGATGGGAATATATACTTTCGTTTGGTTCATTTCATAAACTGGACCGCGCTTTTTAGTTGTGGACGTGCTAAGATGAGGTTGTTTATTCGATCCCACCTTCATGACCAGGTTGTGATATCTGCGGGACCAAATGAATCCGTGAGGTCATTAAAAGATAAAATTTCTCTGGTCACCGGCATACAGGCTGCTACTCAGTCCCTTTATCATCATGGGTCTCCTTTACTCGATTGTGCACTTCTACAAGATTTTGGTTTCACCGACCTAGATTATGTCGACGTAAATTGTGAACTTCGAGGTGGAGGAAAGAAAAGAAAAAAGAAAAATTACACCACTCCAAAGAAGATCAAACACAAGAAGAAAAAAGTAAAACTCGCGACGCTGAAGTTTTACAAAGTAATAGACTTCACTGCATAATTTTGACACTTTCAGGTTGACTCAAATGGAAAGGTAACGCGGTTACGGAGAGAATGTCCCAACGATAAGTGCGGTGCAGGAGTCTTTATGGCCAGCCACTTTGACCGTGAATATTGTGGGAAATGTACTTTAACATACAAACATGTGAATAAGTAGAAATAAAGTGAGAAAATTCGGTGTTAGTATTCTGCATTTCTTGTTGGTGGTGCGCGTCCATGTCACAGCATACCGCATATCTCTTATTATCCGTGAGTAGGGTGCTAGTTGTAGTTGTATCTTCAGTTAGTTTACATTTATTCCAAATGGCACCCGTTTTAGTGTGAAGAAATTCGTCGTGTCAAAATATGAAAATCCAAATCACTGACATTAGGATTACCTGGCTTAACTGAGTATTATGTATGTGAAAAGAGGTGTCGGACGATTAATCAAAAACCTTTGCTTATTAATCTGACAGTTTCACGTCATACCATTTGTAACATGTTTGTATGGGAGTTTAGACCATTAAGGCTATTCATAAAGTGAATTAAGGGTAATTAATCTATTTTGCTTACTCTGCGCTAGCCAATTTTGATTTTTTCATATGTAATGCCAGTACATCACTAGCATGTGAAGAACGCCTACTAATAGGTTTATGTCTGAAAATCATTAATAACTGTCATTCAGGCGGATGCGGTGTACTGCTACCTAGTTATCTACAATAACGTTAACACGAGATAATAACAGGAAACATTGGTAAGCGGTCTTGGTCTAATATAGACATACCATCGAATTTGCCGTACAGTACTGTTAGGGCCAGAAATAATATATCTGTATACGAAATGCAGGAAGACCCAGTTTTGCCGAAGAATTAGCTGGTATACATCTACACTAAGGAGTCGAGTTGCTACATTATCACTTCAGCAACTATACAAAACTCTAAGCAAATCGTTTCCAGATAGTTTAGTGACTTAAGCTAATGTCCCAATTATTTAGCAAAGGCTATTAACTTTTAGGTAGTTTGGAATGACTAACTACCTTGAAGTTCCCCGTTCAGCTCTAAAATTTGGATAAAGATTGCGACCCTAGTTTGTTCCGAATTATGACTAAGCAGATATATCCTGTGATGCCCGTACGTTGATGTGCTTACCTAATGTATCAAATATATTAACTCCCATAATCGTCTACTGCTCAATTGGAGCAGAGCACTCGGCAATGGAGTTTGAAATCGAACATCTACCCTCAACGTTTTGGGACATTTTGTGCAGCTCTATGTCTGGCTAAACAAATTACACTCCACTACGTTATTTGACGCCCAGCAGTTGTGCCAAGGATACGGCCAGTCTTTTGGGAACTCAGCTGACTTGGTTATATCGCCTGCGTATAATCCAGCACTTATTTTTACGTCCTCGTCAGGCACACCCACTATTACCTATTGCATCGATTTTCGTGAACTGACCCTTAGAGATTGATTAGGATGGTAGTACCAAATTACGGTGAGAATGACATGGTTCTGTGGTGAAAATGTTGGCAGGATTCTAACCTTCCCCCGACCAGTCGTACACGGACTTGCTGTGTGGCGCATATGTATCCGGTGCCCTTTGTACCAATATATATGTGATTAAATAAATAAACACGGACTTGTTAACTGCGTCCTGAACATGTTGATGTGATATACTTGAAGTACGGGGAAACTGCTTCAGATAAAGTTCACAAACGATTGTTGCGGTAGTCACCAGAAGTAGTGTTGTAAATACAAAGATAAATTGCTAAGTAAATCTGCTTCAGTTAGGCAGTTGATGAACCGAGTATAGGGCATTCCAAGGAATTAACAAGGGTTGATGAGCACTCATGTCGAACAAAACAAGGTAACTAAATTATGGGGAAAGTCCTTAATTGTCAGGATACGAAGGACTAAATTAATACAAATATGAGTCCCATAGCCACTTAGGTCGTACGTGAGAGTTCATGACAGATTAGTGTGGTGGTTCGTGCATGTAGATCACTTGTGATAAAAATTGACGGAACTGACAGGAACCAAGCTAATTAGTGGGTGAACAAAAGATTCAGTAGTCTGAGGTGTCTCTCCAAAGTATTGCTTCGAAAGTCGTTTACTTCAGTGCTAAGGCTTGGCCATAATGAAGTAGTCAAGGGGAGTAGAAGATACACTTGCCCTGGTTAAGACGGTGACTCGAAAAATACCAGCATGTGCTCTAAATGACTACGTATTAGTTATCTTGCGTGACCTGCAGAATAGACCAGACGTCCGTTCGTCTATAAATGGGTGAGTATATTGTGCAGCACTCTATTTCTATGAAAAGTGGGTCACTAAATAGGCTGCACCCACTTGATTGTCTCTTCAAAGTATTACTTGCGTATAGTTAAACCACCAAAAATGTAATGTCTTGTTGTTTGGTAAAAATGGGGCTGTGAAATCCCACGTATGACTGGTCACTGCTCCTAACACAATGCTGGCTGGAAGTTGGTTGCAGAAGACGAGTGAGTAGGAATCACTTCATGATATCGTTAACCGCTGGTCTGAGTAGTATCTAGATGTCCAGACTTACTAGATCAGTACCTCGCGAGTTGTAATTTACAGCAGGAAATCTAACAAGGTGTAGAAGCACTGATATATATTCTCTATTTCTCCCTATACCTTCAGTTGAGTATTACCTTTAGCCTTTCCCCTTTGGACTGTATTTCTTATACTTAAATCTCTATTGCAGGTGATAATATTCCTCTCTATGATTATTTGAAGTGTGACAGCTTGAATTGATTTGCATTGTATCGGATCGTATATTATTGACGTTTATCATGGAATCTATTGAGCTGATTATTGAAGTCACATTGTTTGCGAGGACCTTAACAGTTATGAATAATCCTAACTGTAGGAAGTGGTTTGCTATTCTTACCCATGTACACAAATGTGAAAAACAACCCTTTGTAACCTGAAGAAAGCATCTGTTAGACTGGATTGTCAAAACATTCCCGTAAACGAGGATTGGAATGCATATTTTCATTACAGATCCTCCTTTTATCCACTGTTGGAATGCTGTAAGGAATTTCATGTCTTAATGCCGAAGAGCTGATGAGAACCTAAACTTGTATAGAAACCTTTATATCACTACGTTAATACACTTAACGTCTATATACTCTGCATCTTTGTGCTTATGCGGTACGGCAACTCGAACTGACGTACATACGTACGAAGTTCTACATTGTGACTGACTGAGAGGTTGTCAACATTTTGGATCGGTTGAGAGTTAACTCTCAACTAACCTGACGTCTTATTTTTGTACGGTGAATAAGGCATTTTAGGTTTACAGTCAAATCTTCCTTCAGTCTTGTCTTAATTTTACTGCTGCATATAGTTCGCATTTTTTCGTCACAACTATGTTTAGTGAGTTTCTAGTGACTCGTGAATCTGGTAGCTACTTTATTAGTGAAGTAAAGTCAGTAAGTAATATTAATCTAGTGAACATTAAATGGCCTGTAGATTTACTATGGGATAATAATCGAATTAGACCGCCGAACATGAGGGAAGAAAGAGAATACATCGGCACAACAGTATGGTCGTTTCTACTATTTAACTTAATTTGGGTTACCAGTTTCACTCATTTTGGTAATCCTCAGATGTTTTCTGTTTACTTGCATAGTTTAGTTTAAAGCGAATGGATCCCAAACTCCTGAAAGACAAAGGTCTAGAAGAATGCTGATGGAGCGTGGCAAATGTGCATTTATATCTGGAACATTATTGACACCTAAAAAGAAACAGAAACCAACCTTCGTGATAAGAATCTATTATTCTGGAAATTCAGTCAACAGTATCGGTACCAGTTGCATGCATTCTGCTGATAAAGCGTGATCTACACTTTATAATAGCAATCATATACTAGTTTTCTTGCGAATTAGCAATCTAGTTATGTTAGTGATATTTATTCTACAAAATGTCAACGTAACAGTTCACTATGAACCATTAAAAGAATATATATTATCCGTAAGTAATCTGAACGACAGATAGTACTCATGAATATTTAACGGAATGGTGAAGTGAAATTAGAACATATTGACAGGAAGCATAATGTTGACAAAATGTATTAACAATAAGAGGAAACCTCAGGTATCTTTTAATACAAGAACAGAAAGTTTTCTCACAAACTTAAAGTTGCACAAGCCACTTATGAATTGCAGAAGCATTATTTGTAGCAGAAATTTCGACGAAATCCACCGGTAAACGACTTTTTGCAAAAGTGAAGGTCACTCCCGGCCTTGTCAGTGTTGATATGGTGGACTGATCGAGGCCAGCAAGCGCACCAGTGCGTGTAAATGTAAGAGTATTCCTGAGTTTAAAATGTCATAAAAACAGTCTATTAACAGGAAGTAAACAATAAACGGTGTACATCTTCAAAGGCAAAATGTAATACACATTAACGTGTTACGGTTCATTAGTTTTACCAATACCCCATAATTTTAACGTTATTCACTCTTTGAAAAGAAATTAAAAGTATACGGTATAGATATATTACTTGGTTCACAGAATTTATGACCTGGTGCAAGTAAATGACATTTCTTACTGTCCAATGACAAACAGGCTATCGGAACATTCAGTCAATTAATAATCAACATCCCCAAGTATGACATGCGCTGTGCAATACCAGTGTAAAGAAATCAAACAAAACTGTTAAAGGCCTCTTAGTGATGAATCGTTGTCTAAAGGTCCACACCTTTAGGCAGCTATCAATCTTGATGGTGTAGCCATTTACAATCCGTGGTGTCTATAACGCTACATTCTACATCAACGAATGAACAGGAAAATCCAAGTGAAAGAAAAATAATTCTAACATTGGTAAGGAACTAGTTGATACTACGCCGACTAGGCTCAAAGTGGATGGTTGTGCCATGAATTCATTCATCATACAAATAGACAAGGAAAGTTTGGAAATGTTTAATACGAGTAAGACTTACCCAGACAACTTAAATGAAGCTTTATGTGAATAAACTGTCGAACTACGTTCATTGGCGACAAGTGAAACTCAGCACGTGATTTTCTGTCATCTTTATCGCAACTTTCTAGACCTCGAAATTTGCAATACCAACAGAAATGCCGTTATTTAGGTAGTGGATAAATGACTTATCAACAAAAGTCAGACGATAAGGTTTGGAAGATACACTGAACAGGTTTAGAGTTGGGCACTTTGAAAGCAACTCAAGAAAACCTAGAAGTTGATTTCAGATTTTTATCGTCTTTCTTAGGGTGAGAAAGTTATGTTGACAAATTATATGAAATAATCCACCTAAGAAGTTTCTATCAGTTAGTAGTAGGTTGTTCTGTAAACTAGTACCACGTAGATCAAATAGCCGTCCACCATTGATAATCAAACCAGTCAAGAAACTTCTTAAACGTAGGAAAAGAATCGGAATATGTTCATCTCTGCTAGCTAAAAACAGTATAGATCCAGTAATTGTAAGACTAGGAATGCTTATAAAGCGTTAATAATTAAGACCAGACAGTCATATGAAAAACAATTGGTTAGGGATTGTGAGAATAGTTCGATACAGTTTTCGTACATAAAGAGACGAACGCAAAGAAGTGGTGGATTCCCATCACTTTTGGCACAATAAAACCCGTTGATATTAACAAGAGATGATCCCAAAAAAGCTAAAGCTTTGTCGGAATATTTTAGTAAAGTTTTTTCTACCGGCAATGAGGAACGACCAATAATTAATCGTGATCAAGGAAGCTTGTCGACGGATCTTGCAGTTGTTGAGAGAGGAACTGTCTTAAGATTACTTCAACATCTCAAACCTGATTAACCCAGTGGTCCTGACTATATTCATCCTAGAATTATATAAACCCTGTCGGACGCAATATTCAATCCGGTGTATAATGCGGGAGAGCAGAGAGTTGGTGACTATTGACCCTTTAGTCTAACCAGTGTTGTTAAACCAATGGAAAAGATTATTTGTATGGCTAGTTTAAACTATACGAAAGGGAATAATCCTTTATCCAGGGAACAACACGGTTTTTAGAAAGACGTATGATGTTTGACAAACCTCATTGCAAAAGAAGACCGGAGAGCTGCAAAAGGTTGCTGCCGCAAAAGGGTATAGGGTATTATGGGCTATTTTTAGGTCTAATCAGTATTTGGATGAAGTGTTTGAATTACTATACCCGACTTTCGTGAGACCGCTTTTGGAATATGGGATTCAAGCAGCGAGTCCTTGTTTCAAGTATGGGGCGGACATGTCGGAACAAGTCCTAAGACAAGGGACTAAAATGGTAAAAGGTCTCTCTGCCCTATCTTAAGAAGACAGATTGAGATACCTCAACTTATTTCTGTTATCTTTCCGTAGATTACGGAATGATCTAATATTGGCTTACCGTATACTGAATGATGACCTTGGTATATGTATTATATTTCCCTTACGTCTATGACTGATCGTTTGAGAGGACATTCGAAGGTAGTTCAAAAACCGAGATCAAATCGTCTACGTCTGAAGTTTTGTTTTTCTTAGCGAATAGTAAATAACTTCAATTCTCCACCAGAACACTTAATATCAGCACCTTATGTCGATATATTCAAAACGAGATTGGACCTGCACATTGCTACAAACTGCAAGGATTAATATAATTCAATAGACCTTTTACCCTTACTACTGAACTACTAATTCCCAAAATACACTAACTACTTTGTTTGATTATTTGAACTCTAACCTGAACAGAATGGGTAGATCTCCAGAAGGTGGTTTAGTTAACATAAAGCATAAAGTGATAACCACCAGTCTGTTTGGGCCCGACCGGGGAAAATGTGCTTAAGCCGTGCAATACCGAATTATTACAGTCGTCTGCATCAAAGATTATAAAACTGATTAAATCACATGAAAACTCTATAATGATGTAAGCCTAAGTGTGATATTGACCAAGTGTAATCTGGTGAGCATGACTGCATTAATATTCGACAACTTTTGAAGATAAATGTGAATTATTATGAGATGGATATTTAGGACTGCAATGACTACCTGACATCATTCTACCTCTGTCTTCTACACTGAAACTTATGGTTTGAAATACGATATTGTACCACAATCACAATGACAACAAAGGTGGATATCTGAGGACAAAAAGTGGCGGATAATTCGGCACTTATGTTGTTGAGCGTAATTTAGAAAAGAGCTCCAATCAATATCTCTACCAAGTCATACAATGAAAAAAGTCACTTAATCAACAACATTTTATTCATGGTGTGCAAACTATATCTTCTATGGCGAACTGAATTAATACCTAATAGCCTATGGAAAGCTTCGTACTGTCATAGCATGTTTAGCTGAAGCTTTGTAGTACAAATTTAGAGGGATGTGTAGAACCCATGTCCCAAATATCTAAATAAAATATTGGGGTGACCTGTAATTCGAAAGATTCTGAACTACTTATTTGATGGTGTCGATCTTCTCCAGAACTTCTTTGCTTACAGCATGATATTATTCAATCACAAAAGCTTTCAAACGCTATCAAGAATGTACAAGTAGTTTAATAATTATGTACAAAGTAGTATTAAGATTGAATGACTTACAATTCTTTTTCAAGTAAATGAGTTACTACACTGACACCTTTTGCCGTGGTAGCATCTTGTTTATTACAAGCTACTAGTAATTTTACGCGATTCTTTATAAAGACCTTATCCACAAGTATATTGTACAAAAACCTGCAAAATGTAATGGCGATTATTATACAGAATAGGAAGACTTGCTCAGCAACATCTTTTACGTCACTCTGAATAGACTTTGAATCTATGACAAATACCAATGCCCTAAAAATAATTAGTAACGGTCAAGACATACAAAGTCTCCAATTTATATTTGTGAATTATCTCGTTTCGAACTTTATCATGACCAGGAACATCTACAAGAACAAGAGACTTTAAATATGAAGCAGGATTCTCAATACCTTTTTATCTATTTGTAGATTTCCAACATTCTCATTGAGAGATGTAAAAGTGGAAGATGGATTTCCATATACAATAGATGAGAAAAGAGTTGTTTTCCCTGAATCACAAGCACCAATAAACAACACGTTTTTAAGTCTCTTTCTGACTGACAACCAATACAGTATAACAGTTACGAAACACACAACAACAGCAATAACTACTGAATACAATAAAATATCCATAACGCAAAATCTTAAATTTACGGCTGTTTTGTCATCATTATATAGTCAAACTGACAAGTGGCTGAAATAGTTGTTGATGAAATAAAAAAAGATTTCGTCCAGTGGTCATAATAGTCTAGTAGAAGTTATTCAGTTATTTCTACAGATCTTGGTGCATTAAAAGGTACAAATCAGTGTTGTTTTAAAAGCGCAAAGATTTTCAAACCTGTTGTGAATTAACTTTCAGTCTTCAGTAATAAGGATAGTAGGTTGATGAACCTGTGTTAATACTGAAAGATTGCCTTCCAATGAAGGTCCAGCTTCTTCTTAAAAATGTTCACTGATGGGGCTGATAGCACTTGTTCTGGTAAAGCGTTCCAGTCATTGACCACTCGATGAAAATAACGGGACCCCACCTTTAGTTTATTAGGTCGCGGTTTCAGAACCTTCTTGTTATGACCTCGGAGATTATTAGCGCTGGAGGTGGCAAAAAGATAAGACATATTAACATCCAAATCGTATTTAAAGATACGAAATGCCAGTATAAGGTCACCTCGTGTCCTACGACAGGACAAGGGGAAAAGGTTTAGACGTTTCGAACGCTCATCTTAAGGGAGTTTAGAAAGACCCTTCGCTAATATTTTCCCCACACATTGGACACGCTCAAGTGATTTAGTATCCTTTATCAGATATGGGCTAGCTGCTTGGATACAGTACTCTATGTGTGGCCTTACATAGGTGGGATATAAAATTCGAAACATATCCTCGTCGAAGCATTTAGATGCTCAGCGAAGTGACCATAGAGCACGATAACCTTTCGAAGCAGCCGTATTGCAGTGCGTAGTAGTTTTCAAGTCGTGACTTATAGTCACTCCTAAGTTTTTATGTTCTTGAACGCGTGGAAGTGATGTACCATCAATAGTATAATAGTTACTATTACCGTGCCCGATGTGCATGAACACGCTCTTTCTGGAATTAACTTCCAAGCCCCAATCATGAGCTCATTTAACTAATTCGTCTAAATCAGCTTGGAGACGACAACGATCAGCCTCACTTCTTATTTTTCTCCAGATTTTAACATCATCCGCAAACAATAATGTGGACGACTTAAGTAATAAAGGTAATTCATTAGCATACAAAAAGAAAAGTAAAGAACCCAAGATGGTGCCTTGGGGTACGCCACTTTTGACCGGCTTCCATTCGGATAGCGTTCCATTGACCCTCACTATCTGTCTGCAGTCACATGAGAAGCTTCCTATCGATTCATGTATAGCACCTGTTTTTCCAAATCTCGAGATCTTCTGCATAAGACGTAAGTGTGAAACCTTGTCAAACGCTTTGCTAAAATCAATGAATACCACGTCGACAGACAGGCCGCTATCTAGGGCTGCTGTCCAATCCTCTCTCGCAATGCGTAAGTTAGTCAAGCATGAATGATTGTTACGAAACCCATGTTGCTCGGGAGTTAACAGGTTATACGAATCTATGTGACTCAGCAGATTAGCCCGAATTAATTTTTCAAGTAACTTAACTACTATGCTGGTCAGGCTGACAAGCCAGTAGTTAGATACGATCTGCCTCTGACCATCCTTAAATATAGGACTAACTATAGCGTCTTTCCAGTCTCTAGGTAGTTGAACGAGTGAAATGAACATGTTGAAGAACGACGCGAGTGGTCTTGAGATGATGTCCGCAAGCGACGACAGCAAACATGGGTGTAACCCATTGGGTCCCGGTATCTTACTAGGTTTGAGGTTAGTTATCAATGGAAGAAGGATTTCCCCAGTTACGCGTATAGATCCTATGGCTGGTACCTCGCTGTAAATGTGACAAGTAGTTGTAACACTAAATGTAGAGTAGAATTCACCAAAGTAATTTGCAAGTGTCCCACTTTTTGCTGGATCAGATTCAGCTAGTAAATCTGAATTTTCGTTAAGCCATCACTAAGTTTCGTCCGCCGATTAACGTACGAAAACAGTAGCTTCGGCCAGGTATGGCTATAATATGCCAACTCTCGTTCGTAAGTGATACGGGATTTAGCTATGGTCTTTTTACATATATTCCGGAGTTTTTTGTATTCGCACTTAAATGATGCCTGTCCTGTTGACAAGAATGAGTCACAGAAGTGTTTCCTACGCTTCAACAGCTTCCGCGTTTCCTTATTAATCCATGGGGGTGATGTGATAGCTTACTTGTTGACCATGGGATAAACGGTTGAGTTGCGGATTCGAACGTAGACTTAAACCTATTCCATGCATCATCGATAGATCCATCAGCATCGACCGACCGGCCACTCGAGATAGCATAGTCTCTGATTGCTGGAATATTAGCTCTCCAGATATTAGGACGGGGTTGAGCAGATGCAAATCCTATACCATGTGTCCGGAACTTAAAGGAAAGTACAACTTCGTCACTATTCACTAGTGGGGGAAGGTACTGAATGTCGTCGACATCTACACAGTTGAACGTGAGTACAAGGTCTATCAATGACGGATTATATTCCAAGTCTATATGTGTCGGCTTTATGTACAACTGCAGAATGAATAATTGTTGACAGAAGGTCGCTATCGAAACCCCCAACTGAGCTCTATCGAGTTTATATGGGGTGCGTTGAAGTCTCCAACGATGGGACGACATTCTGTCTTACTCCAAGAATAGACATGTCTTAGGATAAAGTCGCCAGGAAGACAACACGGACTACAACATATTCATCCTATAGTCACTAACCCGTTTCTAGATCTAATTGTACAACATACTGCCTCACACGTACCACTAACATGCGCCTCCAATATGATCGATTGTATGCGAAAGTGGTCCCTAACATATAACACTATGCCTCCTCCCTTTTGACTTATAACTCCATCACTTTCGATACAAATGTAGCCTGAATGATGGGAGAACAGTCTATATCTACAGTGAGCCAAGTTTCGGTGACAACAATTATATCGGGTTTTAATTCGTCCACCATCAAACTTAGCTCGGACATCTTATTTTGAAGATTAAGGGCATTCGTGTAGCACACATTTAAGGTGTTTTGGGAACCGTACGTTCTACCCATACAGGTCTCGTAAGCATTGGCTTCCAAGACATGACTACCAGAAAACCGTTAATCGTAAGGTTCGTTTTACCATTTAGCTTTCGAGTTCTTAACTCTGTAAGAGCATTCTTCCACTTGATCCGATCCTCAAGCGGCCAGTCTGGTCGAATACGAATATTTGAATCACGAGCTTTTCGTGCGTTATTAAATATCACATCTCTTTCCTCAAAATTCCCAAATACTGATTTTAAGATCCTGCTTTGTTGGGTTTCGTCCCCAACATATTTACCGAGTCTTACTACTTTCGGGATATGTACCCCTGAGACCTCTTCGAGCAGCACATTTCTGATGACAAATCCCACCAATTGAAGATCGTGGGGATGCCTCTTAGAGGGGACATTGTCTTTCGACTCTTCTAGATTCCGAATAATTAAACAAGGGACTCGTTTAACTTCTTTAAAAGTCGTGTTCACAGCTTTTGACTGTGATGTCAGATCCTGCCTGTTAACTGCTGGCTTCTTACTATTAGCTTTCCTTGTAACAGTGTTTTGTGAGTTGAGCGAGTGACTCACAACAATATTTGATGTGGCCGAACTCTTCTCATATACGATAGGGCTAAATATGTTCTTACTCTCGGACTTTAGCGGAGTAATTTGACACGCAGAATGTGAGTCCCACAAGGACTTTTCAACTATACGGGCTCCTTCTTTGGCTATCTTTCCTTTCTTTTTACGTTTCTGAGTCATCCATTTCCCATCAGTCACAGCATCCAGATTAGAACAACTCGGGACGATAATGGTTCTAGCCGGATCATCAGATGCTACTGTAGCAACTTGTCCATCAATATTCAAAGGTATGTCACTCATTAATTGTTACGGGGTGGAGAGCTGTGTTTCGTATTGCATAGTTGGGTGTCTGGCATGTGCCGTGGAAGCACTTACGACACTGACACATTCTTCGATATCAGTATCCATGTAACCGATACGGCCCTCGTCAACTTTTTTGTCAGCTAATGCCAGAAGGCTAATTTTTTCTCGAATGAGTAACGTTTTGCTCGAACAACAAAACATACAGAGCCAATGAGAATTAGGCTTTGAGCACCGTTTATAGGCAGTGGGACTTAAAGGGTGCACATTTTATGGAACCACTTCTTACATTCATCACAATGCATTCCTTCTTCTACAGGGAATAAGCAATATGACTGTCCACACTTTGGAGCAGAGCTGACCATCTTAAAAATTAACTAAAGTGGTAGAAAAGATGGATGTGTAAGACAAATCTCAAACTTTGATCAAACAAATCAAGGCAACGTCGATGAAGAATGCTTTGATGCAGTAAATACATAAAAGCAAGGTCAAAAGACACAAATACAATATCACTTTAAGTGAAATAAATTCAATTAAAGTGTAAACAGTAGTTGTGATGCGTAATTTACGATCAAAACAGTGAATTTAACTCAACGATAAACAATGCCATAATGTTTGGCACTTCATTTATCGCACATAGTAGTGGATTGTCTCACAGAACACGTAATATCGCGACCTGAACGTATGCCGAACAATGCTATTATATCTTATCTTCGCCTTCCATCTAGGACTGATCATCTGAGAGGAAATTCTAAGAAACTCTAAGAAAGTTTTAAAACAGAGATCGAATTGTTTAAGCCTAGATTTCCGTTTTCTGTACCTAGTAGTGATTTACTGAAACCCTCTAGTGGAACAGATAATATCAGCACATTCTTTGATATGTAGTGGATGTCGAGTCGAAGACGGACTATGATCACCACTACAATTCGTTTACGCGCCAAAAACGACTTGGTTCCTTTGATAGCTCGTAAATCAGAAGACTTTAATAATCCAGATCAATTGTATTTATTGGCGATCACGTGGTATCGAAATAATACCGAGACGTGCCAAAGAGTACAGGCGTACAGGCAGTGCGTGAGAAAGTTCGAACCAAACAAGGCGGAGAGCGAAAGCAGAAG